AGACCATAGTTCGAGTACTGGATCTGGTAGCTGGCTTTCTCACTTTCCCTCTCTTTTGCTCTCTCTCTCTCTGTGTCTGTCTCTGGTCAAATTAAACAAATGAATGAATAAATAAATAAAATTAAATAATAATTCTTTAAAAAATGTTTTTCAGTTTAAAGTTATGTGGCATTTATAGATATAAGCATGGGTAAAACTCAAGAGGGTGTCAAAAACTCATGATTAACAAAGCTGCAGTTTTGTTTTTGCCAAAATTAAATAATTAAAAATGTTTATTTACCTTTTTAAAGAATAATTTTATTTAACTTTATTTATTATTATTACCAGAGAGAGGTAGAAAGAAAGAGCAAGGACAAGCAAGAAAGAGACACCAGGTCCAGGACTCAAACTACAGTCAGCCACGTGGGAGTCCAGAGCCATTAACCACGAAGCCACCTGCCAGTCCCTTATTTACCTTATAAAGATAATGTTGAAAGTGGAGAAAAATAGTCCCTGGCCTTCTCAAAACCTAAGTCAAAGCACTTTGAAGGCTAAGAAGACAGTTGCAAAGGCATCCACAGCCACAATAAAAAGAAGACCCATAAGTCATCCCCCTTCTGGCAGCCTAAGACACTACAGCTCTGACAACAGCCCAAATATCCCTGAAAATACCCTCGAGAGAAACAAGTTTAACCATTTTAGCATTATCAAGCTTCTCATGACCACTAAATCTGTCTTGAAGAAGACAAAAGACAACAACACATTTGTATTCAATGTGTCTGTCTGGGGCAACGTGTACCACACCCAACGGGCTATGACACCAATGTAGCCATGGTCAACACCCTGACCAGGACTGGAGAGAAGAAAGCTAATGTGTTTCACTGGCTCTTGTGTATGATGCTTGGATACTGCCAATGAAACGAGTATCATCTAAACTGAGTCCAGCTGTCTAATTCTAAATATATTTTTCTAGTATAAAAAATTTATTTTAAAAATGAACACATAATACCACAAAAGAAGGACTGCAGCTTAGGCAAGAAGGATTCTCTCTTCCAGTCTGCAGAGGGAGCATGGCCCCACCAGCCCCTATGTCAGACTTCTGCCTCCAGAACTGTGAAACAATAAAGTCCTATTGTTTCAAGCCACTCATTCTGTGGGTTGGATACAACAGCTGTAGGAAACTAATACATATAGGAAGGAATACTTTGCTTTTACCTTTAGGAGAAATTTGGAGGGAAGGTCTAAGCCAGATATAAGGTACTTAACAAGAATAATAAGACAGCTAACTACCTTACAAAATAGATCTTTTGGGAATTTGAGCCTACTTAGGTGCTAGGTTTGTTTTTTGCATTTCAAAAGTGCATAGGGATAGTGCTTAACCCCTAAGGTCCCATGTGGGAGTGGTCTGAAATTAGGTAATTATAAGTTATTACCAGGCATGAATTGTATATTATATGCTATTATTCATTAATCTATGAGCATCATTTGACAATCTTATTTTTACAATACAATATTACCAGTATTGCAGCATCCAGTCTGACAGATTTACAAATACCTTTATTACTCTGGAGGCAAATATGGTCTATAGGTGGCCATCGCTCTAATACAGTGATTCTCAGTAGGAGGCACCAATGCACCCTGGCAATATTAAGCCACTCTGGAGACATTTTGGGTTGTCACAACTGGCGGGGGAGGTGCTACTAGCAAACAACAGGTAAAGATCCGAAATACTGCTAAAATACCTTAAGTTGCACAGGACAGCCTCCTCCCTCCAATAACAGAGAATCACCAGACCCAAAATGTCAACACTGTCAAGGTTGAGAAGTCCATTCGAGCAGTACCTGAATATCCTAATCAATGCTTTAAATACCAAAGAATTCGCTTTTCTCATTCTAAACTTGTATCTTTCTGAAATTTGGCAGAGTGGACTATTAGAGTCCAGAGTAGTCCAGACATAATGAAAACTTGAAACTTCCTTTAAATATTCTAAAAAAAAATGAAACTTTCTGTGCTCAAAGACAGCCCCAGGACCCCTAACCCAGCCCAGCTCTGTAATATGCGCAGTAATACATGCACTGCAGAACTGAGGGCCACACACCTCAGCAATCTACGGAACGTGGTCAGCATAAACCATCTGCCAGTCTGGATAGAAGGAGGAAGAGTAACTGTCCTCCCAAGCAGTCTCTCCCAGTAGCTGGTAAGCCTCCCTGAAGCTGAACACCACTGGAGGTCGAGCAGCTAAGCTCCTTGACTGAAACCTGGAATTACAATCAGGCAGTGTGTGGTTGGATCAGTCCTAAAGAGCTGGCACAGGTAAGTACTCTTTATCTGTATCTTGTAGCCAAGCCTAAATTATTGCCTTGCTCAAAGCTCTTGTATCTCCTTTGCTGCTGCCTCTGGCATGCAGAGCATTCACAGTTGCCTCCTTGAAGCGATCGTGTAGATAGGGCTGCAGTGCATACTGTACATTTTTAACCAACCTGTTTAACAAGCTTCTACGGTCTGCTTGTTACCCTCACCACACAGTCAGGTCATAAACAACTTCCATCTCCAATGCTATTCCCTAAGTTAAGAGCCCAGTAGGTTATGGTAGCTAATTAGTAAGGCAAGAAAATGCCCATCTTGTCAAAGGCCACCTTAGGTACTCAGGTGACACTTTCCACTGCAACGGAATATCTAGATCTTTCCTCTATTAAAAATACAAGTTCAAATATACCTGAACAACATGAAATACAATGGCAAAACCACCTGTGGAGAGCAAAGAACGTGGCTAAGTAGAACAGCATATATCTTAATTCTAACTTTCCAAAACCTAGATTCATTGAGTAGTTCTGCACAAGTTCAAGAATAAAAGATGCACTGTTCTGGTTTAAATACACCTAATGTTTTCACCAAGTCACCCAAGTCATCATAATCAGAACTACATATTTAAAATTGGCTTGGTACTGTCAATGTCCATTTTGTCATTTAAATCAAAAGTTTAGTTACAGTTTTTGGTCCACTGAGACAGAACAACTATTTCAACAGCTGGAACATGTTAAAAGTCAAGAGTTCTGGTATTTAAAGAGGCATACATAATTATTCTCCTTTAAAAACAAAACACATTGAATAAAGTCAAGAAACCATGCTATATTGTAAGAAACCAACGAAATATAAAAATTATAACTCCTCCTCAATCTTTATTTATAAAATTTACTTAGCTACTAGAACTATTTAGACTATCTGAGGTAAGAGAAATACATTCTCCTTGGAGATATAGAAACACTATTTTCCTAAGTATTAAAAACATATCAGCATTTTAATGTATTTATCATAGTCATAGTAAGGTTTTTTCAGGGTAGATCATACAGAGTTTTCATTTCAGCTAGACAGCCAAGCAGCTGAAATAACTCATACTATGGTTTCATCAAAAGGAACGAGAAAAAAAGTTTAGTCTGTTTCAATTTTATTAAAATTCTCAAGCTACAGTCTGCAAGTCAGAAATATCATCGAAAGAAATCTTTCACGATAAATTTAGACATTTACTTTATATCTGCATAGTGGTCTTTTTCTCTGATTCTCTTCACCTGGCCTAAATGTAGCCCCATGAAGTACCTCTACTCTGATTGTATGCCATCAGTTCAGCCCCTGTTGTTTCCTTTATATGTGGAAATACACACAGATTTAGGTTTTTTCTCTACGTTCATGTTCTATATATGGTAGAATATTTATGTAGGACCAGCAGGAAAGTATTTTACAGTCGTATATGTATTGGGTACATTTAATAAAGACTGTTTCCTAGGGAAAGGCATGCACTCACGTGCGTGCATGCATGTATGTGTGTGTGTGTGTGTGCGTGTGTGTGTTTTCCGAGTGAGAACAGCTTGAGAGAACAAACACTGTGAAGAAAAGTTTCCTCGGAACCAGCAGATGGTGTAATGGCTATGTCACTGGACTCCCATGTAGTTGACCACAGTTTGAGTCCCGGATCCTGTGGCTCAAACTCATGCCAGGCATGTGTACATGTGTGCCCAAGATCCCGAGAGGAGAATGGAGAAGAGATTGTGGCGTGGTCATACCCCCTGGGGGGTGATTTCTCACTTTCTGTCTCTCTGGCGAGCTCACGTGCCCTATAGCAAAAACCTCTCCAAAAAAGAAAAAAAAAGTCTCCTGCAGTATTCTTCCTGGACATCTCCCTAGAGCTGGCCATGACTGCACAGCTAGCATACAGAAGCAGAAATCTGAAGTAAGAAGAACATACACCTGGGAATCAACTGGTTTATTTTAATCCCTCAGAAGGGAGTATGGCTAACACCTTCTCAGTCACAGCGAACGTTTTAGACTGAGAAGCATTAAGAGCAGTGGGTTTGAAATCAAGCTACGAGGAACAGTAGATTTACTCCCTCACCTGTTCTCAACTGGACTAACTTTAATCTTGTTAAACAAAGGTTCACAGCAGATGCTTCAAAAACACCGAATGGGAGTAATAAGCGTCTTCCCTCTCTAGGGAATATCATGAGATTAAATGATATAAATGCATCAAAGGCTTAGAACAGTGGCTCATGTTGGACAAAATCATGATGCAAATAATGACTGAAATGACTGAAGCCTTAACTGCATAAGTTAAGAAAATGAAGCAGAAACGAGACTGTATTCAATGTGAGGAAACTATACATTAACATCTCAAGCTTTGTTTATTTTTTTACATAGGGCATGTGTGCTCACCACAGAGAGAAGAGAGAGAGGGAGAGAGAAAGTGAGACCCCCCCCCACACACACACACACTACTGGAGATGGCCAGGCCATTATCCCTTCTCCATCCACCTCTCAGGAACTGGGGCACACACACGCATGTATGCCCAATGTGATTTTCAAGACCTGGTTCTGGGACTTAATCCACAGCCAGCCATGTGGAATCAGCCTTAACCTGCATGCCACTGGCTGGCCCCTTCTCAAGCTTTTAAAGGATGCCCTCACAGGCATCTGCATTACAGAACTTTAAATCCGGGATATCTAGCCAGCAAAACCAGATGAGAGCTTACCTCTTCTTCTTGGTGATAATGAGCACATCATTAAACAGAAAGAAGTAGACCTGCTGTTTGGATGTCCTCTTTGAGAAAAGCACAGTGTCTTCTACATAGGCTGTCAACTCTCCTCTTTTTACCAACCACCGGGAAGAGGAGACTAAAGGAAAAGGCTACAAGAACAGGAAACCTCAGTGCAAAAACCAAATCAAAATCATTTTTAAGATTATCAAAAGTAAGTCGTAAATCTTACATTCCAACAAACAAGACAAATTATGGTACACATCATTATTTTATAGGTGGATAATAGTGAAATATAACTGGAGAAATAAAGTGAATACTCAGAGAGAAAATGAAAAAGAACAATTTATCTTCCAACATAAAAACCATTACTTGCCAATACAAATCTAAAACTTAATGAGAAAATGTTAATGGGTCGATAAAAAATTACAACCTTTCTATTAACTCTCAACCGAAAAAGAACACCAAAGTAAAGAGTCACTTAAAATTGAAAAGCTATTAATATAATCTATGCGTATCTACTATAGTTATTTTATATATCTCAAATTAGAATCCAAACATACAGAAAAACATAGATAACTATAATTAACAAGAGACAAATATAAAAGTCTGCCATTCACTTTATAAACTAAAAAGGCTTTTTCTTATTTTTTTCTTTTCTTTTCTTTTTTTTTTTTTTTTTTTTTTTGAGAGGTTTTTTTTTTTTTTTTTTTTAGCTATAGGGCATGTGTGCTTGCCAGAAAGACAGAGACAGAGACAGAAAGTGAGAAATCACTATTCGGGCAGGATGACCACGCCACAATCCCTTGTCCTCCATTCGCCTCTCAGGATCTTGGGCATGCAAGCACATGTGCCTGGTGTGAGTTTAAGCCACCGGGTCCGGGACTCGAACCGTGATCGACTTTATGGGAGTCCAAGAGAAAGAAAAATCCTCAGAAATTTATGTTTTGTCTACTGATTATCCACTTAGTCATATGTGGAGGGAACACCTATTCTTAAGTTTATGGTAGTTTTCCTTATGGAAGTTCATCCCCTGTAAACACCATGCCTCTTTCTGGCTATGAAAAAGAAGTTCTTCCTAAATACTCCATCACAATCTCAAAGAATATACCCAAGGAAGTGCATACTGTTTTTTCTTTATACAGTTTTATACAAACTGATGGAAGTTCTCAAAACCACAGGAAATCCTAACTCTTTTTTGTTGTGGTTGTTTTTTAAGAGGTTTTTGCCATAGGGCATGTGCGCTCACTAGAGAGACAAAGACAGTGAGAGGGAAAATGAGAAAGCACTCCCCAGAGGAGATGGTCATGCTGCAATTCCTTATCCTCCATTCTCTTCCTGGGATCTGAGGCATGCATGAACATGCACCTGACATGATTTTCAAGCTACTGAGTCCAGGGTTTGAACTGTGGTTGGCCATGTGGGAGTCCAGAGACATCACCACTAGGCCATCTGTTGGCCCCCAATCCTAACTCTTAAGAGCTTGCCACTACTATGACATCTATTGGCCCCCAATCCTAACTCTTAAGAGCTTGCTTCCTCTCGTTCTATATCTCTTTTTAAGTTACCAGAAATGCCTGCTAACAGACATCTAACTTAAATAACTCTATGCATAAAATAAATAGAAGTTCATGGACACACAAAACATAAATGTGGTGTGGTGCAACCAAATGTCATCCTTTTCAGGGAATAATGACTAAAAATAGCTAAAGGAAATCAAGACTATTAGAGAGGAAATGAGAAGGCTAAGAAAGGATTTCAATTTTTTTTTAACTTTATAAAGGGCTTTTATAAGAAGGTTGCTCATCAGTCACACATTATTTTCCTGAAAGTTCAAAAAGAAAGATGAAAGATTACAGCTAAACTCAAACTTTTCAAAACTGCTATTAGAGGAGTCCATGGAGTTTCCAGCCTCTCCACTCCCCCCACCAAATCTTGAACCAGGCAATTATTCAAGAGCGATAGCTGAGACCTAAAAGGTCAGTAGACACAGAGATTTCTTGATAATGCTGGAGAACCAACCAGCACACAGAAGAGGTCACCACCAAGACTCGTGTATCAGGCTGGGTTCCACCAAAGGGCCAGAACTACCGGGAGCACCGGGCTATCTTACTATTGCATGTCACCCTCCAAGGTGAACCAAGGACAGCATCATGGGCAAATTCCATTGTTCATGCCACCCTAAGACTATTCTTAGTTTGGGAGGAGTGGGTAAAGCTTTTTTCATTGTTTTGTTTTTAAAGAAGATTGATTTTTATGGACTCCTCTTACTCCACTAGGCAAAAATTAATTTCCACCTAAACACCTAAAACTATAGCTTTTAGGACCAGCATTTGGCGTAATGGCTATGTTACTGGACTCCCGTGTAGTCGACCACGGTTCAAGTCCCAGACCCGGTGGCTTAAACCCATGCTGGGCACATGTACGTGTGTGTCCAGGATCCTGAGAGGAGAATAGAGGAGAAGGGATTGTGGTGTGGTCATCCCCACTGGGGAATGATTTCTCACTTTCTGTCTCTCTGTATCTCTTTGTCTTTATGGTGAGCACACATGCCCTATAGCAAAAACCTCTCCCCCCCAAAAAAAAAGAAAAGAAAGAAGAGAAAAAGGAAAACTGGCTTTCATTAAGCTTATGCTTCTTTTGAAAACAAAATGGGACATAATAAGTGGGCTTTTAAAACTCATTGTTAGAAGACCCCATTCATTAAGACAGTTCTTTTGGAAGAAGATTTAAAATGAGTAAGTTGAAAAAGTCTTTCTCTGGTCCCTGAAGTCATCTTTTAGATGGATATCTGGCTGTCACTTCCCTACCTACTTAGAACTTTGCAGTAGCCCCCAAAAGGATCTTCCGCAGTTCCAACTCTTGGCCAGCTTGTGCCCTCCTCTTCTTGGTCCTATCTAGAGCCTAGTCACATGAAGTACTTCTGATCTGAGCAACAGCAGCTGAAACTATGGCTCTTTATTCCTGGAAGACTCGGGTTTCAAGATTCAGCTCAAACATACCACTAGTTTGAAGTACTATGAGCCTGATTGTTCCAAGCTCCCTGACCCTCTATTCCTCATCCTCTTCCATTTCCAATGCTACTATTGCTATATGTTTTTGTTGTTATTTTTTTACTATAGGGTGCATGCTCTCACCAGGAAGAAAGAAAGAGAAAGTGAGAAATCACCCCCTGAGAAGGATGGCCATGTTGTAATACCTTCTTGTCTATTCTCCTCTCAGGATTTTGGGCATGCACCACACACACCCACCATGTGTTTCAAACTGCCAGGTTCAGGACTCAAACTGCACAGTTAGCTATGTGAGATCCAGCTGCCTTAACCTTCTGGCCACCTGCTGGCCCTTCATTCCCAGGGTTTTTAACAGTTCTCTGTCTATCGAACAGCTGTGGACTTTGAGCCTCTGTACTGCAGCAGCCTTCTGCTAGACTAGAAGCTTCCTGAGGACAGGTACCATGCTTTCATTTTCCAATTGCCTTCCACAAAGAAGATGCTCCAGTAAATTTGTTGAAAGAATGCATGCATTTGAATAAATCATATAATGTCTTTGAGCCTCTGTTTTCTAAGTTAAAAAGAAACCGAGGCCAGTAGAAGGCATAGTGGTTAAGGTGCTAGACTCCCACATGGGCTGACCAGGGTTCAAGTCCAGGATCTGGTGGCTTGAAACTCACACCAGATGCATGTGAGTGTCTGCTCCAAATCCTGAGAGGAGGATAAAAGAAAAGGGATTGCAGTGTGGCCATTCTCCCTGTGGGGTGATTTCTCATTTTCCCTCTGTCTCTGTGTGTGTCTCCCCCTCAGGTGAGTGTACATGCCCTAAAGCAAAAAACTCTAAAACGTTTAAATAAATAAACTGAATAAAATACCTACTAGTACCCATAAAGTGTTATAAGGTCCTAAGATTTTGTATTTCTAATTAATACTCATTAGTATTTCTAAATGGTCTGAATTAGGTACTCTATTATAAATCTATACTTAACAATATTTTCCTTCAGGCTCGCAAATACTTTAATCATTAAATTAAAAGAAAACAACAGAAACTCATCCATTAACAATTGATGTTAATTACTTACTTTTAAGGGATAAGCGTTTTTCAATTACAAATTAATTTTGTGTTCTAGAAAGACAGAGGTTCTTAGAGAAAACAATTGATTTTCAGTGCAGGGAAAAAAAGAAACATGGTTAGGGATTTACCGTTTTTTATAAAGAAAATGATTGGGGTTATTTTTATTTTTAAAAAGGAGGAGATTTATAAACTGTTGTCAGGGGGCCAAGTAGACTTCATGGAGGTTAAGATGGCTGGATCCCACATGGCTGGCAACATGGTTAAAGTCCCAGGCCTGGCAGCTTAAAAATCACACTGAGTGTATGAGAGTGCATGCCTCAAATCCTGAAATCCTGAGAGGAGGATAGAGGAGAAGGGACTGTGGTGTGACCATCCCCTCTGGGGAGTGATTTCTCACTTTCTCTTTCTCTCTCTCTCTCTCTTTTTCCCCCATGCCAGGCAAGTATATACATCCTATGGCGGTAACCAAAACAAGAAAAAAAAAAGAAGCTGCTGTCAGATATATTTTCTAAAATATTAAGAAACAAATTAAAATGACAAGATTCTTTCTGAGAGTTAGGAAAAAGATGAATTCTACAACTGCTGTAAATTTGCATATAACAACATTATACTACTTGAAATGCATGTGTGGGGTGTGTGTTGTTGAAGCACCCATCTGTTTCATGGACCGTGTTTCTCCATCTGAACCATTACCGTCAGGGTGTTGCAATGGAAGAGATTACACTGACTTGCAAGTCTGATACCTGGATGCTAGTTCTAATTTTATTACTTGCCAAGAGATTCTGTGGACAATTAATTATTATCTGGGCTTCCTTTTTCTCACTTCTGAAAAAGAAAGGCATATAGTTGCACTAAATCAGTCATCTCAAACGATATGAAATGGCAGAAAATCTGCTCTCTGCAGAGTACCATGAAATACTGATCACCGTAATTCCACTGCATGAATTAGAAACACTTTGCTAGGGAAGAAAACATGACCAGTCATTTTAAATTGCTTAATAAAATTTATATGTTATAAAATGAAATAGGATCACAGTCACTCGCCATCTGTAAAGAGCTCATCTGAGAGCCGACGAAGGAACAGCCATGACCTAGATTTGCCACTGACTGTCATTTTTCTTCTTTGTTCACTGTCATCTGCTCATGAATAGCATCAGACAAGCAGTAACAGGCAGCACACATTCAAAGAAAAATGGTGGCCAAAAAGCTCCCAGATTTGAAAAGAACTGCCCATTGATGATCTTGTTTGCAAACAGGAAAAGGAGTGTCTTTATTTGATTTAGGAGAACATTCTGGTCCAGTTCATGAACTAGCATTATGTTATTGAGCATTTCCAGAATACTCAAGAAAGAGTCTAAAATTCTATTATTTTAATGACCCTTTCGTCCAAGTTTGGTGTTTTCCTGGGGGTGAGAGGAATGTCTTCTAAAATAATACCTAACTTCGTGGTCTGGAGAAAGGTCACTTTGTCTGATACAAACAAGAACAGAACTGCCTGAAGCATCTGTGGCTCCCTCTGCCAGTCTCGCTTAGCAATTTATGGCCCTTGTTTGAAGAGCAAATTCCTATCCACTTTGTTGCCCTCAACTATCTCCATTTAGATAAGATTCAAGCAAGAGCAGTAAGCCACACAGGTGTGAGCATACCTTAATTTTAAATTCCAGCTGGGAATTAATCGTGTACATCATCTCGGTCCTTTCCATCTTCCTGGCTCCTTCATTGCACAGCCGAACCAACTGAGAACACAGAATAATAAGAAGGGTTACGAGGTGAAGAAAAGAAACCTGCTTTTCAATACAGATCTCTCGAAGGAAATAATTAAGAGTCTGGGAAGCCCCAGAGACTTGTTTCTGACAGTAACAGAACTCACAGTTTTACACAGTAAAGACGTTTTACCCAGTTAGAAGGGATGTGGTTAAGATGGGAGGACAGTAAGGGAATGAAAAGTCCTCAAAGCTTTCAGGGACACACACCCTCCATGTGCCCTCTTACTGCACTGTGCCCTCCACACACTCTCCACGCTCACTGCACACTCCAGGTCTCTGTCCATCCTGTCCTGTCTGCTATCCCCTTTGTCTTTATTGATGGGAGCCCCACCCAACCTCAGAGCAAGTTGCATCTCTCTCTGTCCTTCTGAATCACAGCAGACGACCCATATTTGCCTTTGGAGGGTACACTGAGGCACGCTATGTGCAAAGAACATGATCAGTAAATGGGATGCTGAAAGAGGGAAGTCTTGGGACCAGCAGTTAGTGTAATGGCTATGTCGCTGGACTCCCATGTAGTCAGCCGTGGTTCATGTCCCGGACCCGGTGGCTTGAAACTCACGCTGGACACATGTGCGTGTGTGCCCAAGATCCCAAGAGGAGAATGGAGGAGAAGGGATTGCAGCGTGGCCATCCCCCCAGGGGGAGATTTCTCGCTGTCTGTCTCTCTGTCCCCCTCTGCCTGGTGAGCGCACGCTCCCTATAGCAAAAACCCCTCCCCCCCCCCCCCAAAAAAAAACGAAAAAAAAAAAAGAGGGAGGTCTTCAAGGATGGCCAGACTAAGGGAAATTCAGTTTAATTAGAACCACTGAATTATCTCCAAAGCATATATACTCACAGTCCTTTCATGAGTATTTAATACATATTTAGTTCACAGGTCTAAATCAAAACAAATTTTGCATCTACAATTGCCTATTTACTAGAAATTCTTAAAAGAAAAAAAAGTCAGTGTAATGGTCATTGACCATGAAGACAAATGTGATTATTAAAAATAAAGGCTGGAAAAACGTTTTTGAAAAGGCTAGAATTAAATTATTCCCAATATTACTGCTTTGTTAGGTAAGTGACACGTGCCCATGATTATTAAGAAACTAATAAAATAATGATGATACTACAAAATAAATAAAATAGTCCATAAAAGATCTGACCTAACCCTAGTCTGCAGAATAGTTTCTCTTTTCCTCCTATGCTTATATAAACATATACATACACAGATATATAGACACAAATTTCCCTTTTATTTTTGTAAGTGGATCATTATATACATATCTATGACTTTTTTTGCACTTATCAATTGCTACAGATTGAACGTTCATGTTCACCCCCCAATTCATATGTTAAAATCCTAACAGACAATAGGATAGTAGGAGGTGGGGGATTTGGGAAATTAAAGAGATCTTTAGGGAGAGCCCACTTGATTAAGATTAATACCCTTGTAAAAAAGAGACAGGATAGCTTGTCTCCTCTCTATGCTTTTCTCTCCACCATGTGAAGACAGGACAAAAAGGCAGAAAATTGATCCTTAGCAGATACCAGATCTGCACATACCTTGATCTTGACATTCCAGCCACCAAAACCATGAGAAATAATTGTCTATTATTTAAGCCATCAGCCTATGGTATTCTGTTAAAGCAGCCTGAACTAAGATAAATATTTCTCTTTACAAATATATTATTAACTGGAAAAATAGTTATTTAGTGCCTATTATATTTCAGGTGCTAAGGTTATAATGATATTTAGTAAGATACACAATCCTTAACCTCATGGAGAGGCAGAAAAGATATACATAAAAACCTAAGACTGAGATTGAAAGGAAAAGAACAGAGAAGTGGGAAACCTCTCTCTCACTCTCTTCGTTTAGAGAAAGATTTTTGCTATAGCACGCTTGTGCTCACCAGAGAGACAGAGAGAGACAGAAAGACAGAAAGTGAGAAATCACCCACAGATGGGGGATGGCCACACTGTAATCCCTTCTCCTTCATTCTCCTCTTGGTATTTTGGGCACACACACACATGCCTGGCATGAGTTTTAAGCTGCCAGGTCTGGGACTCAACTATGGTTGACTCTGCTGGGAGTCCAGCAACATTAGCATTACACCTTCTGCTGGTACCACAGGGAACCTCTATTGAGAGGTCATTTGAGGCGAAAGCTGATGAAGAAAGAATTGGTATTGAATAATCAGGTGGTCCATGCAGAGGAAACACCCTAAGCAGAGGCCCAGGAGAGAAAGCACATGTGTGTGTTGAGCAAGTGAAAGAAGATCCTGACATGAAGGAAGGCGTCATGGGCTGAAGACAGAGATAGGCCAGGATCAGATCCTGCAAGGTCTTAGAGTGTATGGATTGTATTCTAAGGGCAAAGACAAGCAACCATCAGGCTCTATGCAATCCAGTTGTTTATGCTATAATCACTGTATGGACTTGCCACAATATATTCAATTTTCTATTGATGGCTCCTTCAATGATTACTCACTTGATTTGTGCATTTGGAGGGTCTATCTATCTTTAATTACCATATATATTTAGCTTTGAATGGAGTGACGGGCTCACTGATGCTGAGACTGATGGCTACTACCAGGTCAAAGCCAAGATCCAAAAATATCCTGGTGGAGTCAGGGCCAACCTGAAGCTGAAATAACTCGAACGAATGAGGCATGTCAGGGTGAAATCTAAACACTGTAACAGATAGGCTTTGCTCAGGTGATAGAGAGAAATCACCCCCAAAAGGGTGGCCATGCTGCAATCCCTTCTCCTCCATTCTCCTCTTGGGATTTTGGGCACACACACATGTGCCCTGCATGAGTTTTAAGCCACCTGATCCAGTACTCAAACCACAGTTGACCATGTGGGAGTCCAGCAATACAACCATTACTCCATCTGTTGGTCCCACTCAGGTCATTTTTATGACATCTCTTGCAGAGTATGTTCACAGCACCCAGATCTATGTTCCTAGACTTGGTCTGTCTCCTTGGCTCTAGATCCAACTACCCAGATATCATCTCTTTTTGGATAACCTACAGCCATCTCGGACTCAGCCTGACCAAATATGAGCATCATCTTCAACGTCCTCTTGACCCTGACCCCACATTTGCTAGCTCAGTGGCTAACACCAGCATCATCTTCCTCCCCAAGATAAAATAATACCACTCAGATCTCTTCCCCTGCTTTGCTCTCCAAATTCAAAGTCACCAGTCTCCTTAATATTGCTATCCACTTCTCTCCTTCGCTCCACTCCCTGAACTGAGGCTCAGACTCTTCCCCTGCATGGATTACTGGCTGCCTAATTCTCTCCATCACCTCTGTCCTTCCCTTACATATCCTCCAAAACAATGATGTCAATCTTCCTAAGTTCAAATTTGATCATGAAACTCAGCTGAAAATCGTGAGGTACTTATAGCTTTCAAAATTGTGTCTTAGCAAAGCCCTCAGGATCTGACACCTACTTACTTGATCTTTAACCTCACTACCTCATCTTAGCTCCAGTCCTACCAGATGTCCAGCCAAAGCACACGCTGCATCCTGCCTTGATGCTTTCCTCCTGCAAACCTTCGTCTGAACACCCTTAGCTATGCTATCTCCAAGTGACTCCTTCTTAACTCAATTAATACCTCTTACTTGTCTTTCAGTTCTTAACTTGGCCATTACTCTCCCTAAAGACTGGAGAGCAAAGACTGTGAAATTTCCCTGTTTCTAAGCCAAGCCCCAGCCCAGCATCTAAATACAATGTGATACTCTGCAAATGTTTCTGTATAAACAAACCACTTTCCGTTTGTAAATCATTCAAAGAAAGAAAAGAAAAAGAAAAGAGGGCTGTTCTGCAGCCTAGCAGTTACAGAGCCACATCCTACATAGCTGACCTCGGTTTGAATTCTGGCCCTGGCAGTTTGGAAAACCCACCAGCCACAGCGTGTGTGTGTGTGTGTGTGTGTGTGTGTGTGTACATGTGCATTCAAAATCCTGATGAGGGCCAGCAGGTGGCATAGTAATTAAGGTTCTGGTTGCCCACGTAGCCATCTGCGGTTCAAGTCCAGAACCTGGTGGCTTGCTTTCTTACTCTTCCTTTCTGGTGAACACATGTGTCCTATAGCAAATTGAAAAAAAAAAAATTAATACAATTAAATTTTAAGAAATTCTTTAAAAAAATCTGACAAGAGGGAGAAATGCAGGAGAAGGGACTGCAAGGTGACCACATCCCATTGAGGGATAATAATTCAGAGCTAATGCCATTTCTCTCTTTCATTTTAAAACGTGATAACTATAAAGGAATTGATTCTTCTTCTTTTCTTTTACTTTTTCTTTTTTTTTTTTTTTGTTTATAAGCCAGACAGTGTGTGTGGCAAGCAATGCCACTAGTTAATTCACATAAATTAAAACAAAAATAATTTCAATGTATCCAATTCAAGAGAATAACAGAATATCTGAACTGGGAAGTGTGCAAGAAGAGGCACTTTCAAATACTACTCTTGTCACAGACATGGAAAGAGCCTTCTTAAAGGCACTTTGACTTTAAATATTAGAGGCCTTGCAAACATTTTTATATTTTTCTTCCCATAAACTAACTTTCTAGAAATTTATCTTTAGAAATAATCAGATGAGCACGATGAGTTGTGTAAGACAACATTCAATGCAGCACTCAGAACAGTGGATGATGTAGGTACCTTAGGAACCCATTTTTTTAAAAGAATTATTTTCTTGAGCTTGCTTTATTTATTTATTTATTTATTTATTTATTTATTTATTTCATTTGACCAGAGAGGGACAGAGTGAGGGAGAAAGAGTGAGCGAGAAAGCAAGCTGCCAGGTCCAAGACTAGAACCGTGGTCAACCATATGGAAGTCCAGCACCCTTCACCACTACACCATCTGCTGGCTCCATGAACCCATTTTTAAGCACATGTTTGCAGCCATACATTAACACTGCCATAGAAACACAACTAGGATACATAATAGAATGACAATAGTCACCTTTGA